AGTTCTGGGGTCACTCCCAGCCCGCGGGACTGTTCCCATTCCCTCAGGGGTTTGGGTTCAACCCCATGGGTCTTCCTTCATGGAACCCTTGGGGTATGGTCTCTCCCTCTAGGAGACGTTTTAGCAGTGCTGAATCCCCCCAACGCTCTGCTACTTCGGGGGCCGTTTTGGCCGGTCCTAAAAAGGTTCGCCGGACCTTTAGGACTTCCGCCTCCCGCGTGGACTCGTCGGTCTCCTGTCCTCAGGGGTTGGCTTCTAAGCTTACAGCTTCGGCTGTTAGACGTTCTACGTCTAAACGCCGTATAGAGGAGTCCCCCTCTCCGGAGAGGTCTCCTCTGGCGGCCCCTGTTCCTCCCAGGGCGACTTCGTTCGTTAGCGAGGAGGAGATGGACGCTGAGGGCGTGGGCTTGGCAGAGGATGACGATGTTATCCATCTGTCTCCTGGGTGCTCGGCGATTGATCCGTCCGAGTCATCGGCAGATGACCCTTCCGACCAGGAGGGTTCCCAGGAGGTAGGGGGCTCCGAGATTGCTGAAACCGAGGCTCAGCATGGTCTTTCGGGGATGCGGGCCCTATGGGCCGACATTTCTCAGATTCTCGGAGCGGAGGTATGCCCACCCCTTCTGCATCGTCGGTGCCCGAGTCCACCACCCTTCTAGGTTCTTTGGTGGCTCCTCGGGCTTCCGTTCGTACTGATTGGACTCTGCCAGAAGGCACCATTGTGTCTTCGGCTCTGGCCACCGCCCGGGCACGGGTTTTGGAGAAGAATTCTTCATCTACCCGCACCCCCGGGTTTGCCGGTCTGCAGCTCGGTGTTGGCGATTTGTCAGAGGCTTCTACCGCTGACTACGCTACACATGACGGGCAACTGGCCCCTCAACCAGCAAAGCTGGAGTCGAGGGAGTTGGCTGCCTGGCCCGGCAAATCGGTGGACCAGGTGGTGCTCGATGCTAGAGAGCACCACAGGATGGAGAGGATGTTGCGCCTTTCCATCCAAGTTCTGTCTTACATAGACTTCCTGACTGTGAGTCTATACAAGGTATCCGACTTGCCTGAGGGTCGGGTACCAGAGACGGAACAGGCCGACATTCAGGACAGGCTTACAGCTGCCCTGAACGCGGCGTTGAGGGCATCAGCGGCCTTACAGGTCTCCCTGCTCGCCAATGTCGTGTTGGCTAGGCGATTTTCTATCTTAAAAAATCGCCCAGTCGAAGAACCTTATCTTTCCCGTCTATTGACTGCCCCCTTCACTGGCTCTACCCTGTTCGGGGGAGCTCTTCCTTCTGTCCAGAAGGATATGAAGGAGGACTCGGTCGCCTCAGCACTCTTGGTGAAGAGGTTTCGTTCCGAGAAGGCCAGCACCTCGCAGCAAATCGCAGCCACACTTCAAGGGCAATAAGGGGAAAGGTAAGAAGGGTAAGAAACCTCCTGGGGGCAAGAAGAAGGGCTCCTGACTCTTTCTTCTCCTTAACCGAGAGAGAACAGGGGTCTGGCGGGGTGGACGGCGGTCCTCCCGTTCAGGTCTCTTGTCCTTCTCCCGCAGGCTCAGGCTCCGGATGGGCGGACGAATCTCTGTTTTGGCAGGGACTCGATCTGCCCCAACCGGAGCTTCCTGTGGGCGGGCGTCTCTCCGCTTTCCTGTCCCAGTGGCAGGAAATTAGGGAGGACGCGTGGACGTTGTCGGTGGTCAAGGAGGGTCTAGGTATTCCCCTTCTTCAGGATCCACCTCTTACCGCCCAGCCGATCTTCTTTCCTCCTCCGGGGGATTTGGAGAAGGCTCGGGCGATCCAGGAGGAAGTAAGGACCTTGCTTGCCAAGGGCGCGGTAGAGGAGATTCCTATGTCGGAAATCACTCCCGGCTTCTACTCCCGAATGTTTCTCGTTCGGAAGAAGTCCGGAGAGTGGCGCCCGATCATAGATCTCAGTGCCTTCAACAGGCACGTAGATTCTCCTCACTTCAAGATGGAGACCACACAGGGCATCATGGCCTCCATGAGGGACGGGATGTGGGCAACTTCAGTAGATCTGAAGGACGCCTATTTCCATATCCCCATCAAGAAGTCAGCACGGAAGTTCCTCCGTTTCACGTGCAACGGCAAGGTCTTCCAATTCCGGGCCATGCCCTTCGGGCTGACGACAGCTCCCTTGGTGTTCACCAAGCTGCTGCAGGTAGTCGTGGGATTCCTTCACTCTCGCGGAATAGACGTCCACATCTATTTCGACGACTCCCTCATGCTTCACAGTTCGTTAGTGAAGGATACCAGGCTGGTCCTGAAAGTCTTACTCAGAGTCGGCTTCATTCCTTCCAGAGAGAGGTTTCCCCATCTCAGGACTTTGTCTTCCTGGGGAATCGTTTCGATACGGTTCTGGGCATAGCCCTACCACCGGTGGAGAAGTTCGAGAAGGCCAGGGCCCTGGCTCTGTCCTTCATCGAACGGTCGCAGGTCCAGGTACGTTGGTTCCTCAGTTTTCTGGGGTATCTCAACGCCCTGGCAGATGTGGTCCCCCTAGGAAGACTTCACATCAGACCTCTCCAGATGTTCCTCCTGTCCAACTGGGTTCCGTCATCCAGGAAGTGGGAGGCCTGGATAACTCTCACTCAGTCAGTCAGGGAGTTCGCTCGCTGGTGGACCATTCGGGAGAATGTTCTCCGCGGGGTTCCTCTGACCAAGCCTGTCCCCTCTATGACCCTGTTCACGGATGCTTCCATGACAGGATGGGGAGCTTACCTCGACGGCCATTGTCGCTCGGGGGAGTGGTCTGGGGATCAGCTCTCGGAGCACATCAACGTGCTCGAGATGAGGGCAGTTCTTTTGGCACTGCAATCCTTTCGGGGATTCCTGCAGTCCAAGGCGATTTGTGTGGCTACCGACAACTCTACAGTTGTCGCGTATCTGGAGAGACAAGGGGGCACCAGGTCTCACGTCCTGTGTGCCCTCTCCATCCGCATCCTTCTTCTCTGTCAGGAGATGCAATTGTCCATTACGGTCAAGCATCTTCCGGGCAGGTTGAATGTGTTGGCAGATACCCTCTCCAGGCGCCGCCAACCGGTGTTGACGGAATGGCAGCTTTGTCCCTCGGTCTTCCGGGGAATTTGTCAGGTGTGGGACAGACCTTTGATAGATCTGTTTGCCACTTCTCTGAACAATCAGCTGCCAAACTTCGTCTCTCCGGTCCCAGATCCGAAGGCTTGGGCTGTGGACGCCCTTTCTCTGGACTGGGACGGGATGCATGCTTATGCATTCCCTCCCTTCAACCTGGTGGGCAGGGTGATTCAGAAGTTCAGGGAGCATCACTGCTCCTTACTTCTGATAGCCCCCCTGTGGCCGAGGCAGCCTTGGTTTTCGGAGCTCTTGTCGTTTCTGGTGGAGGAGCCACTGGCTCCCCCACCAGACCGAATCTCCTGCGTCAGCCTCGGTCCAGATCCCGTCTGTTTTTGCCTATCAAACAGGGACAGCGAGACATCTCCCAGTCGGTGTCTAGGTGGGTATGCCAGGTCATAAAGTATGCTTATGAGCATTCTGATGACCAGGCTCCGGCGAGGGTGAGAGTGCGGGCTCATGAGGTAAGGGCCCTCGCTGCATCCTGGGCCCTTCTTGCGAAGAAATGGGTTCTCCTTTCAGGAGGTCATGTCTGCTGCCTTCTGGCGGGGCAGGGATACATTTACAGATTTTTATCTGAGATCCCTGGCTTTCCACTCAGAAGGTTTGTATTCTTTGGGACCTCTGGTGGTTGCACAGTCTGTGGCTGTGTCCCCCCCCCCCCCCCCCCCCCCCCCGCCCCCCCCCCCCCCCCCCCCCCGTTAGCCCCGGGGCTCGTCTTTTCCGTTCGGCGGCACGTGGGTTACCTGCTCGGTCACGGGGAGGTTGCCCCTCCTTATTCTATGCACTCTGTCCCCCCCTCCCTACCATGTTTAGTGTGCTAGATGGGCTGCCTGGCTGCTAGTCACCACTACGGTAAGACGAATTCGCATACTAAAGTTATGGTAATTATTACTGAAATGAAATTGAGGTTTTTTAATGTAAAACCAATTTTCATGAGGTAATACTTACCAAAACTTTATGGAGTCCAACCCTTTCCTCCCCTCTTCCTATCTGCCTGACTGCCCCTCTACGGGTGCTACATAAAGGCTAAGAGGAAGGGAAATAACTCTATGTTCATGACGTGAAGGCTCATGGTCATAGGGAGGGCGGGATTTTTGAATCTGTTGTTTTTGGGATACAAAGATGGGTGTAGGTACCATATTTTGCATACTAAAGTTATGGTAAGTATTACCTCATAAAAATTGGTTTTACATTAAAAAACCTCAAAATTGTCCCTCTTTCACTGTTTATCTCTTCATTTTGCAATATCCGGTAAATTTATCTGATAATAAACTAATATGTTAAATGACTAACTAATGAATACAAGTCAAGGTCATTTCTTTCGTGATCTTTGTCAGGCTTCAACCTAGGAACATACCAGCAAAATATAATGCCTCTAGGCCTTTTAGTTCATAAGAAGTCATTTAAATGTTTTCACAAATTTGACCCCCCGTGACCCTGAATACAAGTCAAGGTAATTTCTTTTCACAAACTTACCAGCCAAATATCAAAACATTGGTTATTGAGAAGTTTTTTTATAGGGAAATAGATATATTTTCCCTGTCGGGGCCCCTTCCCTGAGGTCCTGTGGGATCCAGAACCACTGTTTATACAAAATTGGTTCCACTTTCCCAAAGGATGCTTCATACCAAATTTGATCCCAATCTGTCCATTCATTCATGACAAATTGCAATTTCTAGGAGAAGTTGACAGATTGACAAAGAAGCTGTGGTATCTCTACAGCTCACATGGCTATTCAGGCTAGGTGAGCTAAAAACACTGATGAAAATGACAATAAAACAATTTGACTGATGAACCAAAATGTTTTAGTTTTAAATGTCAATGTACAATATTATTCAATGCTTTCTGGGTATCTGGTAAGTTCAAAATAAAAGAACAAACTATTGTGTTGGTGGAATTCACTTTTATTAAGTTCAGTACTAAAATTTTCAACCATTATCATCAACAAGAAAAGGCTGAAAATTTAGTAGAGATATTTCTGGGCTTGTGAAAAAACAAAAAAAAAAATCATAAGTGTACACAGAAAATCCAATACTAATACATATTCTAATAGGAAGCGTTTTACTTCACACATTGTTTATACAGTTCTCAATCAATTAACATAGTCAGGTCATATGGCAGCAAGCACTTTTGTTCTAATAATTGCCATCCCCTATTCAGTGGACTAAACATTTGTGAAACAGCCACTGTTACCTCCCTCCAGTGATTTGTTATAACCTCTAATATCTCATCCTCAAGATATTTGGTTTTTTATTTTTATTTAATTATTTTGCTTCATTTTGACAATTACTAATGACTTAAAAGTATCCAAATTGTTGATGATTTTTTTTATGTTAACAATGTTATAAAAAGGCCAGAAAACAGATCTTATTCATGTTTATAAACAATAAGACTTCTATCTGTACATAAACACTACAGGATAAGGTTGGTCCTTAACTTCGACATGTAAAAACTTAATCCTACATTTAATGTCTTATTCATACATTTGTATATTTCAATCCACTGGTCCATTGAGGTCCACTTGGTAAATTAATTGAACTACTTCAGCCACAAAACCAAAGTAGAATCCTTCAAATTTGTCCTTTAGTCATTGTTGTTGATATTCTCAACATTTTACCACAGCTGGATATACAACCTCCCTAATGAAATAATGAGTCACAATATGAAAGTTAAATGATTACCATTGGATCTTATAGCTTTAATATTGCTGTCTTTATTTGGAACAGATTTACCCTAGTAAAGCCTACAACCCAAATAGTGTAGGAGTAATCAATCTTAAAAAATATATATATATCTGCAAAGAAAGTTTTAATAAAATTAACTGAATTAAAGAAAAGATCAGTGATTACCTCAGACAAATAAATCACATATATCAACCCTTTGCAATGAAACTATTTACAAATTCAAAAAGAACAAGTGATGAGATTAATTCAATGAATAGTGATGTTAATGATGTTCCACTGCACAGTACATATACAAAATATACACAATGTCATATCCATAAGATAGAATATGAATATATTAAAAGATTACTATGTACAATACATTTATATACAATACAAGCATACAGTACTAGTCTTTTAATATAATGAAATCCCTCTATGAGACAATTTACTATGTAGAGATTCTCCTCAATATCACTGTTGTTTACATGGTATTAAGTGGACATTTCAAGACAGTGATGTATTAACTGCCAGGGGCTATGTATTGATATATATGCATTTATCACATGTTATCAAGATGAATTTTACTGAATTGTTACATACACTTTTAGTGAAAGGTATGATGAAATCCGCAAATAAATCGTAGAAGTATAAGCAAGCAGTCAAAATTGAGTAATTTATTTGAATCTGAGATTCATCTGAAATCTAACAATATATTGTGACTCTACCAGATATAAACAGTAAAAATAAAAGGAAAATTCACTCAAATGGTTACATATTGAACTGTTCTTTACACGAGTTTTAATGAAAGGAAAGTTATGCTCTGGACAGGAAATTTTAAATAAAGGACAATAACTTTGTAATTAAGGGGTTGCAGGCCCTAAGTTTATTACAAAGCACATTGCCTTAGACTTACCAATGTATAAAGCAAGTTTTATGATCCTTACTTTAGGTAAAGTTATGCTCCTGATATAAAAGGATAAACTGATGGCTGAATAGACAAAGTGGCAATATATGCTTCCTCTAAAATTTTCAGGGAGCATAAGAAATGAAAATTTCTTGTAACCTTACAGTTACAATCAGTTTGGAATATGGATCAATGTTACAGCAAGTTTCATGTTCATTTGTTCATCTGCTGATTTCGATATATCTGTTACATGATCTCTACCTCAGAAAATTAAACAATCTGAGGTATATTAAGAATGGGGCAAGAATATGCTTTGTCGCAGCCATCTTAAAATGTCCAACCTAAACCAAGTATATAACAGTGAATATCTGTTCATCTGATCTCCAAAGTTCAATATCTGTCTAACATGTTTTACCTACATTGAAACCTTTTGAAGTAAAAAAGCACTGGTACATCAGACAGGTAATTCAGTAATGGTTATGTTTATTTTATTTGTAGCCATAAATTTGGCTTTGTTCTAAAGTAGAATAATTTATTTACTGGTACTTTTTGTTTATTGTTGCTTTAAATCCATGATAAGCAAAGATCATTTAAGGACGTACCAGGTTTGTGTGGTGGAAGATAGCTGTAAAACCGCAAACCTCCTATCAGTACCTGGAAAAGGCTCCACGAAGGCCTCTAACCTGCTACTAAGAGGTAGACGGCTAGCTATAAAGATGGTCAGACGCCTTAGCCACTTGGCCACCATGGCCCCTACAACTATATCTCAACCAGAAATTATATACAAGAAGCCCAGTAGGAAAAGAGCATTCCCACAGACAAACACTGAAGGGAATGAAGAGTCACCATGTCAATAGCAAGTTGTTAGAACAGCAAGTGTAGTGGATGAATATTCCAACTTCAAATTTACATACATACTACATCTAAATCTTCAATATATTCTTTAGCATATCTTTCTTCACTTCCTTCTCATTATATGCACTAAATTTGTTTCAAAATGTTTTAGTGTCATTCTGATACTACCAAACTAATTGTGAACATTTTGTTGAAAAGTGCAAAACACATAGTCAACACTTTATAAATATTCTCTTCTATTACAGATCTGCTGGTTTTCAGCAGGGATGTCATGGATACAAAATTTCAGCCCAAGTTACCCAACCTTTGCAGCCTGGCCCACATACAGCTATCGTTAAGTTTACCATTCACAAATGCTCATTTACAATTTGTTTCCTCTTCTCCTCAGAATGTTTCAAACCAAATTTGGTCAAAATACAATCATTCCTACAGTAGGGGTTGAATTAAAAAAAAAATTCTCTATTTCTCATTTTGGGTCCTGCTACTCAGGCCACTGGGGGCTGAAACAAACTGCTATAATAAGAAAATTTGTTTCCTTTCCCCCAAAAGATGCTTCTGACCAAATTTTGTCAAAACCTGTTCAGTCATTTATTTGTAAGAAAAGTTGAATGACCAGGTGGGCTAACAAGTGAAAATTGTCATTCAAAGATTAGGGGCTTGTGGTTGATAAATATCTGTGTCTTTTCTTTTTATATCATCCCATTCTTTGATAATAATTTATAAACTGTATAAAATGGTGTAGGAAACGGTTATACATTTGTCATGCAAACATGAATGAAATCCTTAGGTTTGTCTTGTGCTCATGCATGCCAGCAAATGTCAAATTTCACTAAGGTTTTTTCCGAATAATATGCCGACATGAGCGGAATCCTGTTACTCTTCAGAAAAAACATTTGAGGTCATGTCTCAATACAACTTAAAGTTCTCAAAAAGTAGCATTAACAGGGTTCTGTTGACTATACACAACTCATTCATACATATCACATCTCAACACAACATCCTTTCTTAGGAGAAGCATTAACAGGCTTCTGTGGTTTAAACAACTCAGTAATGGGAGTCAAGTCTCAATACAACTTATTGTTCTCAAGGAGTAACATCAACAGGGTTCTGTTGATAATACACAACGCAATAACTGAGATCACGCCTCAATACAACTTACTGTTCTGGAGGAGAAGCATTAAGTGTGTTCTGTTGATTAAACAACTCAAATATGGAGGTCTAGTTTCAATATAATTTTCTGTTCAGAAGTAGCAATAACAAGATTCTGAAGAAGACTGGTGGCCATCTTGATGCAAGTTATAGAGCTTAAAGTATACATTTTTTTGTTTACAGTTGTCAGCAGCTAAAGAAACTCAAATGCTTAAGTAAAATCAAATGAAAAAGAACTGAAAATTTGATGCCAGTGTCACTTTTCCAACCAATACTGATTTACCCCTCATATCCTAGTTTAAACCATGATACAATTATTATACAATTCAAGTAATATTTGCATCCCTAATCACTCATCACATTTAACAATTTTTAAAAATGGACACATCACTTATGCTTTTCATATCTGTGGCCATCATGGGCTGTTCTTTGTGTTAAGATTCAACTTCTACTGATGTTCACATGGCATATTTTCTAGTCCATTCTACAGCAAGTTTATTATATTTTTCTCTATCTGTTTTAAAAATTCTGGCAATATCTGGTACCAAAGGATCATCAGGATTTGGATCATTAAGTAGTGAGCATATTGACAGCAAAACTGAAAGCAAAGAAAACAAATTAAGTTTACGAAAGAAAAATGTTGCAACACAGAGATTTTTTGTTTGGGCATAAGGTAAGCGTTATGATTTTGCTTTTCATAAACAAGAAGCTTATTAGCCTTGACGATCACCTGAGGTAATAAATCAATATTGAATATAAAGGTGACAGATTTCAAGTGTCACAAATAAGAAATTGTGACATTATTGATAGTAAGACTTAAAATAATGTTTAAGCCCATGGGCATCACTCAGTGTCAATATATGCAAATCATCAAAACTGTTATCCTATCATCATAACTCTTTATTACAAATGAAAAGACATTTCCATCCATGAAAGCATTTGATTCTACCATACCTCAGTGTTGAGAAAATTTTTGTAATTTGAGTCAATTTGACTCCTTTTGGCCCTGCCCATCAGCGCCTAGAGGTCAACCAGGTTCCATACCTGCATACCATCAAGCTGTCATCCTTTGGTAATAATTCTAACCAAGTTTGAAATATCTCCATTAGAAATTAAACTAATTCTGTTAAAATATCTATATTTCCTATTTCAACTAGAGTGCTCACAGGAAACCAGTGTATGATGGAGCTGAAGAGAAATAAGGGGTGCTTACATGCAACTAGCAGATCGCTCACAAGAAACTAGAACTCTCAAAGGCTATGAAAGAGCTCACATGTACATTAAACTAAAGAATTCATAGGAAACAAAAGTGCTTATAGTAAAATAGAAAATTTCAAAGGAAACTTCAGATCTTATTGGAAACTAGAGTGCACAAAGGAAACTAGTGCTCTTAGGAAACTCCAGATCTCACTAAACTATAATTCTCCTTAAAATGAGACTGCTCAGTGATCAAGGATGCCCAAGAAAGTAAATGAGAATAATCACAGAAAGCTAGAGCATTCAAAGGAATAGATGTTAAAAGGAAACTAGAAAGTTATTCAAGGAAACTACAATACCTCATGGAAAAGTAGAGCTATCACATTTGTTTTAAGTGCTAACAGGAAACAAGATAGCTGACAGGAAAAGAGGGTCATGGCCTTTAACAGTAATCTGACAATGAATGAATGGATGGACCAACCACAGAACTTGCTGATGGTAGTCTTGATAAATCTGATGAATTCAAATTTTGAATATTCCTTAAAGCTATCAGAAACTCATAAATGGTAAGTTCAGTAGCATAAGCATGTTACAAAATGGCTACTGTGGTTACCATGTGAAGTTTTGATTAGGCTGTAAAACAACGACAAATTGTCTCTTTTCTTTTCATGAAAAACTCCTACTCCAAATATTTTTCTCATTGGTGTGAATGAAACTTGTAGAGAAATAGTTCAGACTCTTTGTTGGATTTTGGCCTAAAGTGAAATTTTTTTTTCCTTAAAAGTGGTCACGACAATTTCACTTTATGCATGCCACTCCCTGTTAATGTTTTAGGCCGAATTTGGTTCAAATACATTCATGCATTAAGAAAGAATAGCATTTTAAAGCAAAATATTGTCTAACTCACCCTTATTGGGCCCCACCCCTAGGTGCTTAAGGGTCAAATCAATTTTCTGAATTTAAAAAAACAATTCTCCACTCTCAATATTTCAGACAAAATTTGGTTGAAATCCAATCAAGCATTAAATAGGAGTAGAATTTTGAAGCAAAACATTGTCTAATTTCCTGTTTTTGGGCTCTGCCTAAAAGTTCCTAGGGATGGAATCAAATTTCTGAATTTAAGACATAATTCCCTACCCTAAGTGATGAATCTGGCCAAAGCTTGTTGAAATTCACCCAGGCAGAAATGAGAAGTAGGGTTTTAAATCCAATGTAAGCACCTCTCCAGTTGGGGCCCTATCCCTCGACCCCTACGAGTCGAATCAAAATTCTGAATTTAAGAAATGATAACCCTCACATAATGATGCATCAGACCAAATATGGTTGAAATCCATCCACGTATGAAAGAGGAATAGGATTTTAAGGAAAAAGTTTTCCCTTCTGGTAAGATGACCTAAAAATTCAGGTGCTCACAGAAAACTAGAGAACTCATATGAAGCTAAAGTGTTCATAGGAAACTATTGAATTCACAGGAAACTAGTGCAAAACAGAACAGAAAATACTCCCAAAATCAATGATTTTTCAAGAAAAAAACATGATCCCAGAAGAATCTGAGCACCCCACATTGTTTTATCTTTGTTTTTACTCTTAATCATATGAAGTTTGAAATTTCCTCTTTGAGAGATGGTGACAATCAAAATGAGTACCACTGTCAAATTCAAAATGGACATTTGTCAGTCATTTTGTTTTCCGTATCACTTCCAAAATCACATAAGTGCAACTAAGGATCAAGGGAATATCTTCATTGGAATTTTCAGAAAGATATATCTATTCTTCAAGACATAAAAGAAACAGAATTTCACTGACAAATTCAAAGATGACACCAGCCAGTCATTTCTTTTCTGATCAGTTCAAAAAATCACAAAGACACAACAATGAACCAAGAGTAACCATCTTATGAAATTGAAGAAAGATTGTTTTAGCCCTCTCAACAGATAGCAATAAAGTACTGTTTAAAGAACATGAGATGGATGACAGATACAGGGCAATTTCAACAGAGCACAATCTGATGGACTCAAAAAGGTGCAAATGTCTATCTAGAGTTTCCCTTGAGATAGATAATGATATATGATTTAGTTTGGATGAGTGTGAAGTTAAGTTTTAGTAACAACCATCAAGTATTAAATTTGCACAAAATAAGTTAAAACCAAATAAAATCTTATGCTGATTCCTTACACATAAGTGTATAATAATTGTCCCTCTTTCACTGTTTATCTCTTCATTTTGCCCTTCCTCAACAATCTTCGTCAAGATTTGCTCCTCTTCCACAATCAAGTGGTTTTGTCTCTCCTTCAAAATCTCCAGCAGGATTATACCCATTCCCTACAATCAATGCCATAATTTTGCATCCCCCCCCCAAATTTTTGCCCCTTTCCAACAATCAATGCCTTGGTTTTACTGTAGTTTAAGCCCCTTCCCAACAAATAATGCTATGGTTTCCCCCACCCCCCAACTCTTCCCAAAGTCTAAGCACATCCCTTCCTGCTATGTCAGGATCCCAAAAGTACCACAGAACTAAGGACCATCATGAATCAGATATTTTTTTGACATTTCATTTATTCCAACCTCAAACAAGTGGCGTAAGGGGCTTGCATTGCTCACCTGGTATTAGCTATTCCATCAATAAACAAACAATTTCAAATATGACAAATGATTTCTGAAATAATTTCCCTAATAAGAGCCAACCTTGTGATCACCATTCATAAAAATTGCTTATAAGGTATACATTTTGAAGGCGATGATCTGGAGGTCGATACAAAATACCAACTGCTTGTGTACTGTGCATGCAACTCCACTATCGAGGAAAATTGAATTCTCATTTAATCAACCTGTCTTCAAAATCATATTGATAGTTTATTGAATATAATGCAAATCTGGACTCTTAAACCAATATAAGTTCTTCTTTAGTTTAACTGGTTGCTACCACAAACACTGTTTTCTCTACAAGAATGTGATTACCATGATTCATGTACTCAAGCAGATTGCAAGCACCAATCACTGATAATTCTTTGAACTAAAAACAAACGAATATTTTTCGGAGTTTTTGTGTGTTTGAGGCATGTTGGCATGTTAATACAGTGCACAGCGTTAATGCAACCAGTCATACTTGTCTATCCATTTGTCTGGTATGTAGTTTGAAAATTTTATGAAGTTAATTTACAATTATTGTCGTCTTTATCTTGCTGTGTCTATAGATCTCTTGATATGTTTTGGTTTTTATGATTTCACTGGCAAAGGATTAATTATAATTATGATAATTAAATCTGGGATGATTAAAATATTTATTTTTTCTCTCTATTATTGGATTAATGTAGGCTTAAGACAGTTTTGATATAAATGGATAGCATAAGGCAATTGGTGCTTTTTCTTTTTTGTTTCTTTTTTCTCAACAAAACTAGCAATCAGTAAGGTAAACTTAACTAGACATTTCAGTTGTTTTTTGTTTTGTTTTCAAACTCTGATTTTTTTTAAACTAGTAATAAATATACATATATCGAATTAGAACAATAACAGGTCAAGAAGGGCCCTGCTATGTGGCTGGAAATCCCCCCAATAATCTGGACTGTCGACCCTGGGAACTGAAAAGCAACCCAAAGCAAGCCATTTTAGTAAGAAAGCTATGTAAGAGGTTAGAGTTTCATTGGCCAAAGGAAATTTGAGTTATCACAGGGAAACTGATTTTTCTATTTAGAGTAACAGTGACCTTCACCTTTGACCTTCAAAACTGTAAAGCAATCCTAAGCAAACACTTCCAGTAATGAAGTACTGTATGAAGTTTAAGTTAGATTGATAAACACAGAAACTGATTTTCTCTTTAAAGCAAGTGACCTTGACCTTTGAAGCTGAAAAGCAATTTCATGCAAGCATGTATTAAGTTTGAGCTTGATCAGCCCAAGGAAACTTGGAAACAGAAGTACTGACAGACAGACAGACAGACAGACAGACGTGATTACCATAGGGCAGCCATACATTTGTGCAGGCCTACATTATGTTATTTACATATATCCTTATTTGGTATCAGGAGTACTTTGATTTTGCTAAACATATAGTGTTCAAACATAAACATCAGTATACACCACTGTCTTAATAGATTTAGCTTTTTAGAGTCATACACATGGGTTTATTGTATAGGCAGAGATGTAGTTAAACCTGAATAAATTTTGTACAATACCTTTACTTGTTTCCAGTCCTACTTTTGTCCAACATGTTTCAGAAGTATTACCATCACTCTGTTAACACTGATTCATGATCACTGCTAATTAACAATGTATGCTTGTCTGCAAGGAGGTCAGTCTATATTTTTGACAATGGCTACTAATGCTGTCATTAAGTGTTGTTAATTCATTCTTGAGAAAAGTTATCAGGTAAGCCCTTCATCATTATGAAACATTGAAACTCCCA